CGATTTTTTTGCCTCACTCGTGTCCACTTTTTTTTTTTTTTGAAAGGCATGAACCAAAAAAAGACGAGAAGAAAGGGCAGAGAGTTAAGCCATGTGTACTCTAGTGGCAGAGCATCAATACCTCAACATGCATGGAAATAAATTTATGTTTTTGTTAAAATAGTGTCTCCTCTAATTCTGCTACTGGGGACGATTCTTGAGTCAAAGGCTTCGCGACACACGTAAGTTTTAGCACTCTTAATTCGTTACTCGTCTAAGTTAATGAGCAATTGTAGGCTGTTAAAACTTCTACATCCGAAAAGCGATAATTGAATGCCAAGTGAGAATTTTAGCTGCGACTCGCACAAGATTGTGCGTTTGCGGTGGAGCAGCAAAACAAGGCTCTTGTACTGACGTTCGTGCTCATGGATGAAGGAAGTTAACATGCTCTAAGTAATATAAAGCCTTCCAGTAATCGCAACGTCTCGTAACACACCTGCAGTTCTGCCGTGAGTAACCGCAATATTACGAAATCCACAAAAGTTGGTGTCGGGTCTCGCTCACATGCCTTCTCGAGAATTGTTTTCAGAGGCGAGAAAATATAGAGATACTTAAGCCACGTAAGACATTACAGGGCTTAAGCATCTTAAGTATAGTCGTACATTGACTCAATAAAAAAATGTTTGCACTGAAAATAGGTGACCACCTTATAGTGTGAGAGCAGGCCCATAGCCAGAAATTCTTTTCAGGGGGAGGGGCTCTTGCTAAAAACTAAGTGGAAAGGGGCCCCTAGCTCCCCCCCCCCCCCCAGCTACGGGCCTGCGTTTAACTGCGTGAGAGAGATTTCAGCGGAGAGCAGCACACGCTCATTCGTATGTCGCCTGCGCAAGGGTACCTGCGCCTCTGCGTGCAGCGCTCCAAGCGGCATCGGCGCACCTTAGGGACAGGTTTCAGCAGCCGCTTTTCACACCTCTTCATTCTAGTCACCCTACCGAGGGAGCGGTCTCTCCTCCGTGGTCGGCACCGGGTAAGCACGTGTTTTCCTTCGTCTGCGTCCCCTTTGGGAATTGCCGGACTGTAGCCTGCCTGGGGTGGCCTGTGGCACCTCGGCAGGCGTGTTTACTTGAGTGCTAGCTTCGGTACCGTACGCTAAGCCCACAGCGGTGCCTAGTGCTTAAAGTGGTCGTACCACACCGAGCCGCACTTGCCGTAGGCCTACGCGTACGAGGTTTGCCTACCACTCGCGACCAGGACCAGTGACTATCGTGAGAGTGCGCATCATAGCCGCCAGGGACCTTTTCCCGACCGGCGTGTCAAAGCTTGAAATTGCCAGCTGCGACGTGCTCGCGGTTTCCCCTTATTGTGAACGTCCGCGTGCGGATGCCTTTGCTCCCCGCGTCCCAGGAGCGGACGTTGTACTGTTGTTCGGGGTGCCGCCAAGGGCAATAAAATGTTGTGTGTTTTGTATTTGAACACTGTCTGTTTTGCCGCGCCGCGCTAAACGCCTTATTAGTTGAGCGCGCGTGGAGCGGTGCGCTACACGCGAGTAGGTGGCGGAGTCGCGGCCCTGTGGCTTTCTAAGCGTGAACCCGCGGCGATCATTCGCTGCAGTTAGTAGCGGGGTCACCATACTGGCGCCCAACGCGGTATCAAAGGCTCTTAAGCCTTTGATTAGTCTTAGCCGAGTCAGCCCGGCCTTTGCGAATCAGGCTCGCCGCGTTTGCCCTCGTTATGTCTGGTCTGCGTGAGTTCTGTCCCCCGACGCTTTTAGCAGATACCGCATTGCTCGAGAACAGGGCCAGTGCCCGCCTTGAGCATCACAATCGTTCACCCTCACTTGTCACAAGCTACAGTCGGGATGACACGAGGTGCTACGCAACAGCTCCCACTGGAGAGGTAGCGTGTTTTGGGTCCGGGGCCATAGCCCAACCCGAATAGTTCACGCGGACGAATTGGATTGCTACTGCTTTCTTTGGAATGCATGGCAGTTCCGTGTCACAGCGCTCCGAAACGGCTCTCAGTGGAGCTTCCGGGGCGCAGATCGGCACCGCGGCCTCAGCCGTTGCCAAATTTTGCCCGCTGGCTGCTACGCAAACTAGCAGCCAAGCGCATTTCGAGCACGCGCCTGTACCCCTAGCCGCAGGCGGCCTAGCAATTTCACGTGAAGCTGCCCCAAGAGTCAGCTGTGAACAACAGACGCTCCCCAATGTCGCGACGGCCGGTATCCATATTGAAACCGCGCCACGCAGTCTTGCTGGTGCGCACGCGCCGTTTATTTCGGTCACCATTGTCGGTCGCAAATTCTCGGCGTTGCTGGACACGGGCGCAAGCGCTTCGTTGTTTGGCGAACAGGTGTTGTCCCACTTGCAGAAGCCCTCGGTGCACTTGCGGGACAGACGAACGACATTCACCCTCGCGAAAGGCGTGGCCCAGTTGACGGGTGCCGCGAGGTTGACTGTCAGATGGGGAGGCCGAATGAGACGCGCACGTTTCGTTCATCTTCCAGGGCTCAATGTTCCTGTGATTCTCGGTCGGGACTTTCTCCTAAAAACCGGTATCGTAGTGGACATTGGGAATGGAGGCTATCGCGACGGACCTTTTTCCGAGCTAAAGCCGTTCATCAGCCCACCGGCGCTTTCTGTTGCCTGTGCAGTTGAAGCGTCTAAACCATGTCACGTGCAAACTTCGGGGGCAGGCCCCTGCGCTATGCACTCGTCGGCTCGAAATTTCCATCGCGATCGAGCGGCACGACACGAAGAGGCTCCGCATCCTTTGATTGCCTGTGCAACTCAATTGAATGATACACAGAAGGCTCGTCTGTCAGCATTGTTACACGAATACGATGAGGTCTTCACCGATCAACCCGGCTGTACCGATTCGGTGAGCCATTCGATCGAAACTGGCGACGCGCTTCCTTTGAAGTGAAACCCCAGGCCCGTCGGCCAGGCCAAGAGGCAGGTAATTGATGGCTTGCTGGACGAGATGCTCTCAGCTGGCATTGTTCGCCGTTTGTCCAGCGCCTGGGCATCTCCAATTGTGTTGGTGCCTAAGGCCGCGTCCACACTGAGCATTCCGGCCGCCGAAAGTGCTTCGAATCCGGTTCGGCGCCGGCGAGATCCGCCGAAAGGACCCTCTCCACGCCGATCGCTCTCGGACCAATTTTTGCGGCGTCGCCGCCGAATCGTCTCGCCGCGAACCAATAGGGGGCGCTAGCCGAAGAACTCGAAGAAATGGCGGCCGAGAGCAACTCGCTTGTCATGTCGCAGTCGAGCAGCGTGCGCGTAGCTGAAATGCTGATCGAATTGATGGGCAACCACCCCGTCCTGTACGATAAACGTCACCCAAAACACAAAGACAGCTTGCTGAAGGACGACTTATGGAGGAAAATCGGAAACGAGCTCGGAATGACTGGTAAGTACGAGTTTATGTGCCTATATTGCTTTGCTCCTTATTGTGAACACCTTGTGCTGTGGAAGTACTCATGCTTCTCGTCCGCGTTGCAACGAACGTGGAAACGCACGCGTACTGGCCGTTTGATCGTGCTCTTCAGTGCGCTGTTTGATGTCAACAACGGAAATGCTAGACAGACATCGTGCTCATTGAACGATGGGCTCAGCGATGCAGGTACGCTCCAGGGGAGACAGCGCCGGCATTGTGCTTGTCTGTTCACCATCCTGCTTGCCCTGCGTTGTATTCACGAATGTCGCATGAGTTGAATTTGATTTGACAACTAAAGGCAGCACGTTTGTGCTGGCTTGACGCATTGTAAAGGCGCATCATTCGAAGCACGTTTGTGCTGAATTGAACACGGTAGCAACCTAATTTAAGGTCTAGAAACGTATCCCAATATGCTGCTTGGCTGGTTGAATAGAGCGAGTGTGGCTATACTTACCAAAAAGAAGTAATGAAAACATAGGTGTTTTTCTAAAGCAGGTACACTCTGCAGCAGGTCCTCCCCTCCAGAAATAAAAATTTATCACTACGCGCAGGGTTAAAAAGAGCGCGCATTTTAACGAGCGAGTCATACAGCTATGCATACTTAGATTGTCTTGTGCATTACGTGCTGCTCTTTCGTCCCGTAAATATATGCAAGCAACTTACTGCTTTGTGAACCTAGCGACATTCACATTGTGTTGGTGTAAAATTTGCAAGGATGTGAAAAGCTTGCCTAATACGTAAACTGAATTCTCCACAGGAATGCAAGCACATGCAAAATTCAAGAACTTGAAAGACACCTTTACAAAACACAAGAACAAAATTAAGGGCTCCATGAAAAGTGGTGCAGGGGCTGCAGATGTTCACAACGTCAAATGGGTGCATTTCAAGGCAATGATGTCCATGATGAGTCCCATGCTCAAAGAACCAATGTAAGCCAAATTTTGTGATCCTTTTTATTTTTTATAAATCAATCAATGCAATGAAAGTGTACACAACTTAAAAAAACAACGCAAAGACATAATGCTCTCCTGTATGCAGAACTGCCGGCCACAATTGCACATGCTAAAAAGAAAATCACAGTTTACTTGCACAACAAATCAAGAATTCATTAATGCCCCTACAACGAAATACGTCGGCTGAGAACAAATATTTCAGCCACGATGAGCTGATAGAATGGTAGATCACTACTGCATAAGATTCTAAGCTTCGTAGTTATGCTGTTTAGCAATTTTCAGAGTGACACATCAGTAAACACGTACACACACAATGCAAAGCACAAAGTTAACGTTTCATAGGTACTGATGCACTGGCCTCACTGCTTGTTGACGTCAAATAAGCTTAACAAATAAATCAGCATACTTTTATTTACAAAATCATGAAGACTACAATGAGGAAGCAATTACAACAGATGACATTAACATATTTGATTAGTAAATGTTTATAAACATGTAGTGAATAAGAAAGACGTTGATACCATCAGGTCAGCTCTCATCAGCACAAGAAAAAGGCACGAGATCGGCGATCAAGCACCGTCATCTGGGTCCGCCTGCGTTCCTTTAGAGCTACCACCCGCTTGCTCAGTCCTTCAATAAACCCCCCTTTACAAAAAGAACATAGCGTACTGCATAACTTGCTCATCGAAATTTTTTTAAGGCCTGATTGCTGTAGCATAACTAAAAAATGTTAATGTTTTCCAGCATTTCTACAAACGTAGGATTCATCAATCCCGATCGGTAAGTTGTAAGAAAGGTACCAAAATAACTTTGCCAGCAGGAAAATGCATGATAGTGCTAAGAAGATGATGAAAACATTTGCTATCACCTAAAAAGCCATTTTCTGCATGCCTACCAAAGACGCTAACAATCAAATGAACGGGTGAAGGAATGGATGTGGTGAAAGTGAACGTTGTGAGGTGCACTTTTTTAATGAGTCAAGCAAATAGGGCTTGCAGTGCAAAAGCATGTTACCTGATAAAGTTAACACCACTTGTGCATTCAGAAAATAAAGTTTAAGCAGTATATTACCTCGTAATATTATCTAGCTTTTGCAACAATCACCAACAATAATTATTTCTCATTGATAAAATATTATTTTCTCTACATCACAAATGTTTCACGCGAGTTCATCTTTCCGACCTTTAACATAGAGCATCAAGTGAGCGGAGTCCGGCGCCTGCAAGTAACAGCAGCAGTGGCAACGCAGAGGAGGGCCAGGTCGACTACGACAACCATGTCACAGTCATCTTGGATGAACCACTAGAACAGCCTGCATCTTCGTCCGGTGCAACACCTGCAAACACCGAGAGACAGGTCACAGCAATTTATTTAACATAAAATATCCGAAGTGAAACGTTGCACGTTTCATTTTACTCTTTAGCTGTAATACAATATTCATGTACCCAACACCAATCTACTTCGTAGGTCAGACAGTGCAGAGGGCGAACAAAATACAAGGAAGCAGGCTGAGCGGTAAGTTGTTCCAACAGAAGCATGACAGCTTTTTTTTTATCCGGCATTCGCACTTGCTACATTTTACGATACTTCCCTTTCTTGGCGTTATGTCACTCAGTTTTCTTGTTTTTCACTGACAGGCCACGCAAGGTTCCAAGAATAGCGGCCAGTGGTGCAACGTAAGAACAAAAGCTCTGACAATGTAACGATCATGTGTCAAAAGTAGGCATTGCTTTTTTTCAGTTCATCAAAGACAATCTCCCATATCGACATCGCAAGCGAATGCCTTCATCAACTGCGTGCCGTCAAGGCAGCACAGGAATCAAAGGAACAGCACGACCTTCCTTATTTTTTCGGCATGTCATTGGTGCAACAGCTGCGCTTGTTAAACTCCCAAACTCCCAGCAGGTAGATGCTATGACAGCACTACAAGAAGTGATGCAAAAAAAGATCAGTAAAGCAACGCTTGAACTCGAATTCGGCAATTAGCTGTCAATGTCAAAGGGGTTAAAGTGCATAAATCCCCCCCTCTCAAAACATAAAGGGACATATTTGCCATGTGCTGATGTACTTTTCTGAACCCCTTACACGAAATCCAACGACAAGTAGGCAGATGACCATTCCCAATTGATATCAGCCTCTTTTTAGTTTTAATAGTCATGTAGTGTTCTTTAAAATTGGACTTTAGCTTAATACTTGCTTTTTTACAACACAGATTTATTTTTCATGAAAGTACACAAAATAAACTTGGATTGGATTTGTGGGATTCAACGTCCCAAAACCACCATATGATTATGAGAGACGCCGTAGTGGAGGGCTCCGGAAATTTTGACTACGTGGGGTTCTTTAGCGTGTATCCACACGACGGACATATCCGCGCAAATCCCTCCCGCGGACGTTCGTTCCGCCGCCCGTCCGGCTGCGAAGCACATTCAGACGACGGACGAAGCGAGCAGACGGACGCGCTGGAGAAAAAAAACATGGCGGCACTGTCTGAAGCGAGAGCTGCCCGCTTCAAATCTTTAAGCTCTTCGTAGCGCATCGCGTGGGCTGTTATTCCCAAACTGATGGTTGTGTAGGCTTTAGGTCTGTGTCCTCGAGCTTCGACGGCAACGTATACATGACTATTTGGTACTGTTTCCGAGCGCCGTACTCGTTTTCTGAAAAGTGTAGGCTTAGCGACCACCGCTATTGCCAATACATGAGCTCGGTGATCTGCGGTAGCGCTGGGGCTACCATATCTCGGAGCTCATGATAATGTGCGAATGTTTGCTTATTCTTCTTTTCTATAGATGGCGCGACCAGTCTGAAAGTAGAAAACCCATTCATCGCTAGCCATTCGAGGTTTAGGTTTCCGTCTATGACGCTGAGTTTGAAGTTGAAGTGAATATGGAGGTCGAAAGAAAGCAACGAATAGCTGCAATGGCTGTTGTATTAGCAGAATTAGACGATGAAGCGCTGTTCTTCCCTGTAAAACGATCTTGTTGGCAAAAGGACTACATCGCTAACAAGCATCTGGGTATGCAATATCAACTCTATCGTGAACTTTTGCTTAGCGACAGCCAAGAATACAGGAGGCTTCTGCGAGTGTCGAGAGAGCAGTTTGTCCAGTTGCTGTCGCTCGTAGGACCTCGCATACAACGACAGGACACCGTAATGCGGCGAGCCATATCAGCTGAAACAAGGCTGCAGGTCACGCTACGATACCTTGCTTCAGGCAAGTGTTGCACGTCTGTGCATTTCTACTCGAAACATTGCTCCTATTGTTGCATCCGAGACTGTTCAGACTTGGAGAGCCTCGCTTTTAGAGGTGGCATTACGTTGTGTGTTGTAAAACGCCAGCAAGGTCTTGAATAGGCACATATGTGACACTAATAAAACAAATCTTGCGAAGGCTACGAAAGCCCTCTTACACAGCCTCGCTGTCGTTGATGTACAGTTTGGCACTCTTGGCATACATCTGCGAATTAGTGACGGTATTTTTTTCCCTTTGTGCAGGAGAGAGCCACCACTCCTTGAGTCGCCAATTTCGTCTGGGCCACTCGACTGTAAATGATATCATCCATGAAACATGTAATGTAATTTATGAAGAGCTGAAGAATGAATTTCTCAAAACTCCAAGCACCGAGGATGAGTGGAGAGACGTCGTTGCTGGTTTCAGTAGAAACTGGAACTTTCCAAACTGCGTTGGAGCGATGGATGGAAAGCATGTGATAATTACTAAGCCAGCAAACACGGGAACAGTTTACAGAAACTACAAGAAGAGCTTTAGCATTATACTGTTTGCCGTGGTCGATGCGAACTACAAATTTTTGTACACGGATGTTGGTGCGCCAGGGTCACAGGGAGATGCGGGCGTCTGGCAAACTACGCCTCTGCAAGCACACTTGTCAAACATGTCGGCTGGTCTTCCGGAACTGGTCAAGGTGGGAAGCTTGCCTGATCTGTACTTGCCACCAGTTTTCGTCGGTGATGACGCGTTTCCTCTTGGAAGAAACTTGATGAAACCGTTTGGGGAACGTTCGTTATCAGAAGAGAAGAGAATATTTAATTACAGGTAATTTATGTCACTACTGAAACAGCACTATGTGATATTTAACCGTTTAATCGAAGGTGCGCTAACCCAGATTTGCAGCACACATTAGCATGCTACTATCTTCTCAGTGGTGTAAAGTGTATAAAATTATATCTTACTTTTTTTAATGCTTTACAGGTTATCCAGGGCTCGGCGTGTAGTTGAGAGCACCTTTGGAATACTTGCGAATAGGTTTAGATTTCTGCACACCGTGATTGACGCTGAGCCAAAACGGGTGACATCAATGGTGAATGCAGCATGCGTATTGCACAACTTCCTCGCCAATGAATTGAACGCAGCTGACTCGTGTGCCGACACAACGCCTACTGCAACTCTGTTCTCTACACAGCCTTATTCTCGCGGACGAGTAAGTGCTGTTGGCTCCGCCGTACGTGACAGCCTATGCGAATTTTTGAATGGCAGGGGTGCTGTGTCATGGCAGCGTACGTCAGCCCACTTGGAGGCCGATGTATACAGAAGGCCATAAGATTACGCAAAGATAGTGCAAGATGCACATGCGTTGTCATAAAATAAAGTTGTTGAAAAATAAAATGCGGTTTGTTTAGTTGAAGGGCGAGATCTTGTATACGCTGTCATATGAATGGCATTTCAAATTACGGATATTTACTTAAAACTGAGTTTCATTCACACTGACAACAATGCTGGAGGTAAGCAACGATTTATTAACTGGCAATATTAAATGAGATCTGTTGAGCTTTCTTACTCGCTTTTGTTGATGTAGATTTCAAGTGCGCTTAAGATAGCCTTCTGGCATGGGATCAGCTTATCCTTCGGAACCTCGCGCATGTGTGCAGCAACAACTTTACCAAAATAGTCGATATCATCTTCCTGCTGTGTGGTACTCGCTGGTTGGCCTACGCTTGCAGCTATTTTTTCCAACACAGTTTGCCGTTGGGCCAATATTTCATCTAAACGATGGGGAGATCGGCGCCTTTTCTTCTGTGTTCCTTGGCGGGACATTGCAGAGAGTGCCTTGCCCGCAATTGGGTCGTCCACGGTAATGTTTTGGTCGTCAGTCGCTGCAGCTGCATCGTCTGAGGTTTGTGAAGGATCATCAATGTCTGGTCGTACCTGCAAGACACAAAATGGCGCACAAAGTCTCTCGCAATTCCAAAATGTAATGCTTTGCAGACACACATCTGCGTATCTATTCCGATTACAATCTGTATTACAACCACGTAAAAGCAATGGTACATTATTCGTGATTTGGCGTAATTAGAGCGCAAGATTCAAACTTCAGTGTCAACAATTTTTGGTCATATCTAATTTAAATATAGAAACGACGTTTGAATAATTCAGCACACCAAGCAACTAATCTTAATGTAGAATTATTTTGGTGTGTGTTCAAGCATTGAAAAGGTTGTAAGGCTGTATAAGAAAGTGCTAAGTAATAAAAAATACATATTGTAAAAATTTACGCGGCACAAGAAGGCTTCATCACAAATACGAAAAACAAGGGCAGTTTACCTTTATGGTCTCCGCCGCAGCTTGGCATGCATCAGTGCTCACAGAACGCCAACAGGTCACTTTTGAAGCATCCAAAAACCTGAGTGAATTATAAAAGCGCCAGCGACCTTTATAAACGTCCGAGCTTGGCATTCCACTCTTTGTGGATTCTACTTTCTTCTTCTCCAACCGGTATGTGCGTCTCTTATTGTCAAAGAAGCGCCGAAGGGCTTCTGTAAAAAAAAAAGAACAAAACAGAGGGGGGGGGGGGTGATTATAAGTACGATTTACACCATGCAGTTTCGGTCAATCACCATCACAACACATTATGCTGAAAAAACGTGGCTGGTGCTCTAACGAATACTGCAGTGAATGTTTTCAGTTTTACCGCAAGCTTACGCATCACAAGCAACGTTTGGCGGACTCGTCGCCATTAACACTGTTCTTGAATTTCGCGCCGATTCCTTGATTAAAATGCATTTTTATTGAGCAGCCCTGCCTCCGGCACGGTAGCATGCTTGGGAATGCGCTGACCACGGCCGTCACTTGTAGACACCAATGTGCCCCACGTCATGCATAACAGGTACATTCCAGAAGGTTATTATCACGAAACCCACCCATATAATAACGCAAAACATAGAGAGTAAATATAAATGGTACTTACTGGCATCGTACGGCCCGTACGCAGGCCACTCCTCGTTCATTTCCTTCGCTATGCGTTCCCATATACTCTCCTTCACTGTTGTGTCCGCGTACTCGGCGAGTGTCATATCCCACAATGCGGGGAACTGCTCAACAAGGCGCAGCAGAAAAAAAGTTGCGTCGTCGCTCAAGTTCATAGTTGGAGTTGTTTGCGGTAGTGTGCGTCGAACGTACTTCCCACGCAAAAACCCAAACAAGACGAGCAGAAAAAAAAAACGTGCCTGTTGCCAGACCCTTATAACTTCGTCGGCTAAATTTACGAAACCACACGAGAAACAGAAAAATAAGCGCTTGTTGCCACACTAGTATTGGCGTCCTCCGCTAAATTTGTCGTGTTTTTCCGCGGGAATCCGTTTGCGAAAAAGAGCGTGGCATTTTCCGTCCGCGACGTCCGCGGACGCGGCACGGATGGCGGAAATCCGTGACGTGGGGTCACGTGACGCGCCGTCCGCCGCGGAAAAGACGGATTTGGTCCGTCGTGTGGATACACGCTTAACGTGCACCCAAGTCTGAGTACACAGGCCTACAACATTTCCGCCTCCATCGGAAATGCAGCTGCCGCAGCCGGGATTTGAACCCGCGACCTGCAGGTCAGCAGCCGAGTAACAAAATAAACTTGGTAAAGCAAGTGAAAAGATTTGTATTTAAGAAAAATAAAAATTTCACTTTTCGAGTGGCATCTCCCCTAGTTGAAAAACAAGGGAGGAAGGAAAATAGGAGGAAAAGAACGGCAGGGAGGTTAACCAGCCTATAGGCAGCCGGTTTGTAACCCTGTGCATGAGAGGGGGATGGGGGAAATAAAAGATAGAGCAAAGAGGGAAGAGAGATAAACACAGCACATTCGGCAGCACACGCGCGCACACTCAGTCATTGTCTAGTCTTGTCATACACTTTTCATGCATATAGTTGAAAAACAATATGCATGAGAAGTGTACGGAGCAAGTGTTTTGTCGCAGCTTTGTAAGTTGAGTTGATTCTGTTGGGCAAGTAGCTTGATGTGTATTGTGAATTGTAAAGAGCAGACCTCAGGACATACAGCAGAACACCTCTAGCTTTCATCTTTGTTTGAAGTCAGTATTTTCCTGTTTTGTGCTGCAATATAATGCACACTTTTTAAAACATTGTGGCAGTTGTGTCTACGTTTACAGAACCGTTTTAGTGTTTCATCATAGACATCACAAGGAGGATCAGGTTGTTTCTCTACATGACTGTCATGATAACAATAAATGGTGCACTCACCACTGTACAGTCTTGTGTCCATTATCTTGCTCTCTTGCCAAGGCACCTTGCCGTTGGTGATGAAGTGCTTTGCCATTAGATGCCTCAAAAGGTTACCTACAGGTCCAGATGGATGAGCATGACCGGTGCATGACCGCATTCACATCCCACAGAGGGTTATTCGAGTTCACTCATATGCCCTTTGGTCTTTGCAATGCTCCTGCGACTTTTCAGAGACTCATGGACCGCGTCCTCGGGGAAGCAAAGGGGTCTTACTGCATGTGCTACTTTGACGACATCGTGGTTTATTCACGAACCTTCGGAGAGCACTTGGCCCACATTGCCGATGTGCTCGAGAGGGTGAGAGCCGCCGGGATGACGTTAAACCCTGAAAAGGCCCAACTAGCGCAAACCCGAGTTCAGTTACTTGGCTTCACGCTGGGCGAAGGCTCCATTGAGCCTGATCGGGAGAAATTTCGAGCAATCCTCGATTTACCTGCGCCCAACGACGTACGCGGCCTGCGCCGCTTTCTCGGAATGGCCAATTTTTACCGGTCGTTCATTCCGTCCTGTGCCCGAGTGCACCCAGTGAACCACCGGTATCCTGTCAACGCAGAAATAACATCTATACATCTACATCTATTGATAACATCTAATCAACATCCCCACAATGTACCATCTTTACAGTCTTGAGAGCCGACGTATTATGAACGTCGCATGCACTTCTCCCTTAGACAAAAACTAGACGTTGCAAATGATGTTGCCTATACGTACTCCCAACGTCAAATGCATCGCAGTTCTGCGATGTTATAAAAGTCATCTTAAGGGGTTTTATAAAACCCCTTAAGATTACTTTTATAACGCTAAATTTATTCTGGCATGTAAAATCTAAAAAGTGCTCGGAAATAAATTGACATGTAATGTTCAAGCATACGTAATATGCGTAGACTTACATGTGTGACCATAAAATTAGCATGCGTGGCGTTAGTGCTGCTGTACATGATAGCGCGAAATCATGCATGTCAAAGGTGCTTTTAGTTGTGAAGCACTTTAGGGGTCTGTGCGGTCGTCGCTTGGCGTACAATCAGAAAAGAGGTAGCAAGCAGGAATTAGAAAGATATGGAAAAAGAAGAAAAGCAGGAAGGGCAAGGAAAATAGATAATTAGAAGAGCAATAAAGACAGAAAAAAAAACTAAAAAATAAAGAGAAAAGGCAAGGGATAGCTCAAGAGAAACAAGGCAGACTTCCCCTCTTTCTTCAGGCTTCTTGGCACCACTAGCGCACAGCTGCCTTAATTTATGTTTTTAACCCCTGTACTGCCCCGTTTGAACAAACATACAAGGTTGACCACATCCAGAATTAAAGTCAGTAAATCCAGAACGTTTATTCAAAGTCATGAAGGATACATATATGTCCTCTGTTCAAAGTATCAATAAACACACTAACATTTTTTTTAAATTATGTATGCAGCACCGGCTTCTTCATTCAAGGGCTTCAATACAAGCTAGAATGAGGTGTTCACCTTAGATGTAAACGAGCGTGCAGGGCATGGCTGCGGCTGCCCTTTGATGCGAAAAAAATGTTAGAGAGAGCCAAAAGGTATGTTCATTCTCGAAACGTTATGCATAAATTCAATATAATGCTACTATACAGTTTACACATTACACTCTACATGAAAACACGGGTGTCGGGAACACTAAAAAGAGTGCCAAGGAGCCTGAGAATACATTGAATATATCTTTAATACCACCGCATTAAAAGAGACCGGTTTTGGGAGCCGTTGCGAGCGGACGCGCTGCACATGCGCTCCTGCCTCAACTTTCACCAGAGCCCTATATTTCGACCGGATCCTCTCGATTTCCCCCGCTTTGCATTCGGGATGGTCAGCTGCCCACTTTGATCTCACCTAACTGTCGCTAGCCCGCCGGGATCGGTACCATGATCCGTGCTGTTTTCTTGTGTGCCCGTCGGAGCTAGGCCTATGCCAGGCCTCGCCTCCGTGTGGTCAACGCTCGCCTAGCCATGGAATACCGCGTAGATGGCACTGATATCGACGCAACCGAACTCGGAAATGGGGAATGGGAGACCGTCCTACGTCCCTGAAACAAATACCGCCCTGCGACGGCTGACAACTGTCTCCAACGCCCAGCAAGCTTGATCGGCCAATTGGAAATCAGTGGCAGCGACGGCCGCCGAACCGTTGGAGAATCGCAAGATGGGACGCCGACGCCTCCAAGGCCGTCTCCTCCACCAGCTCCTCCTCGCCATTTACGACGCGCGCCTCTCCCGCAACTCCCGAGGGGAGACTTCAAGGTCGTTGTCCGACCCCGTGGCGGTTTGGACGTAACCAAGCAGACCCCTCGCACGCTTCTAACAGCGATCTCCTCTACGACAGCAGTTTCCCTGCAGGAAGCCCTCGCCCAAGACCAGTTGCGGCTACATCCGACCAACAATACCTTCACACTCAGCACCCCTGTGGAGGCTTGGGCGCGGGCTTCTGCTGAGCTCACTTCCATCTCTCTCGGCGCTAGCCGCACAGATGTCACCGCCTACCTCGCTCCTCCCGACGATGCCGTGCGGTGCATTATTCACATGGCCTACAATGATGAGCCACACAGAAAAATTTTGGAGGGACTTGTCCCCTACAACCCGGACCTCCCAATAATTGATGCTCGACCATTTGGGAAAAAGCGATCCCTCCTCATCACCCTGGCCACCGGCCCTCTGCCCAAAGCTATCCGCTTTTGGGCGGGCATCCACACATGTTTCCCCCATCGACCGAAAGTGGAAGCGTGCTACAACTGCCGCCGCATCGGGCACCGCCAAGACGTTTGTCCGGCCCCAGCAAGCGGAAGATGTCATAATTGCGGCGATCAGCATGTTCCAACAGAGCCTCCAACCTGCCCACCGAAATGCATCGTCTGCGGGGACGGGCACCACACCGGGAACGTTGAATGCAAGTACCGCTACGCCCGCCGGCCGCCACACACGACCCAACTAGCGGCCGGACACCAGTCCAGATCCCAGGAGAAGAAACAACCAGCCCCTCAGAAGCCATCGCGCAATGCATCGCGCTCCGCCTCCCGTGACCGGAGCCTCAAACCCAAGCAGGACCTCACCTGGGCCGATCGAGCACAAAAATCGCCGCCAGCCCCCGTCCAGCAGACTCCGAACCACAACAACGATGGTGAGCTCCGGGCCCTGCGGGAGGAGGTAAGCCGCCTTAAAGCTATAACACAGCGCTCACTAACCCCTCCCACCCCTTCTCTCATACCTTCACCACCCACTACTCAAACGCATGCTAACATCCCTCCCCATCCTCCACCCTCCAAAAAACAACGAACTGATCCCCCAACCCCCACCTCCGGATCGATCGATATCAACGCGAAGCTGAAAAATCTGTCCGACCAATTCGACATGAAGCTCCAGGAACTTGAAAGTCGCATCGAAAGTAAATTCAACGCCCTTATCAGTGACATAACTACAAAATTAGAGGCACGGATAGAACAATGCATGGAAACTATTCTCCAGAGGATGGTTGCCTTCTAGAGACACGCCTCACACAGCTCCCTCCGCTTGCCACCCCCTTTCCCCTCACAGAACAACGTGCCGCCACGGATCCCCACACCTCTATTAACGAGAGTCTAACACCGCTCATACATCCCCCTACGCTCCATTATGGCAGTGCGGGCCAATAATAATTCCATTCATATCATAACATGGAACTGCCGTGGCTTTCGGGGCAAGCGCGCGCCCCTGCAGCTTCTACTTCCTACTCTCTCCCCAACGCCCCAAGTCCTTCTTCTCCAAGATACTGCCACACAGGCCACACTTCCTAGTTACAGCTCCACACACTCTGACCCCACAAACGCACCCAGAGCGTCTACCCTTGTGCACCGCGCTCTCACATACAAGACCCATTACATCACATCAGACACACCCTGTGTAATAACAGAAATCATCCACCACACACATACCATCCCCTCCATATTTATTGCCAACATTTACCACCCCCCATCCCAACCGATGGCCTCGCTGGATTCCCTCTTCCGGGAGCTGCATCGACTGGCGGGGAAACATCCCTTGCTAATCCGCGGCGATCTCAACAGTCAACATACTGACTGGGGATACAAAACAACTACACATAGAGGTCGCAGGCTTTGGCTGCTCATGCAGAACCTCCAACTCTCCGTCCACAACAACTTTCAGACACCTACACGCATAGGCAACAGTGTCAGTATGGACACTAGTCCGGATCTGGTGCTTAGTCGCTCCCTCCGTACTGTCACATGGACGAGAACACAGCACACACTGGGCAGTGATCACTACATTATACAAGTCACTGTCCCGTTCAAACCACCCCGGCACACATACATGACACACAAACTCATTAAGTGGGACGCTCTTCGTGCTGCGCGTACCACCCGCGCAGACAATCCCATAACCGACATCAACGACTGGGTGGAATCTCTTCAGACTGACATTCAACATCACACGCAACTAATTGAAACCACCACAGACACTCCAACACTAGACAACCGACTCGCTCACCTATGGGATGCCTACCACAGCCTTCTAGAGCGGTGGAAACGGGGTAAACATAACAGGACGCTAAAGAAACCCTTAGCCACTCTACAATCCCAAATCCAAATACATTCGGAGGAGCTGTGCCGCTCCAATTGGGGGCAGGTATGCGACGACATTGCTGGCAGACTGACCCCCAAAAGGGCGTGGCATCTCCTCCGACACCTCCTCGACCCATCGCACACGAAAACCACTACCCAGCACCACGTCACCCGGCTTATACACGCACACATGGACAACCCCAATGATCTTTTGGATACACTCCGCGACACCTACACATCACCCGGCATACCAACTTCTCTTCCCTCATACACAAACTCGACACAGATATAACCGAGGCGGAGGTCAGAGCCACGCTGTTGACTCTCCGCACTAAATCCGCACCCGGAGCCGACTTGATTACCAACACAACACTCCGCAACCTGGATGACAAATCGATCACTCGCATCACGGAGTACTTCAACCAGTGTTGGAAGGAAGGAACGCTTCCCCAGTCCTGGCGTCAC